CCCGGCTGCCTTGGCCCAGGTGGCCTAGCCTGCCTAGGCCCTGGTGGCCCCTGCTGCCTTGGCCCTGGTGGGCCCGGTTGCCTTGGCCCGGGCGGGCCAGGCTGTCTTGGCCCGGGTGGGCCTGGCGGCCTCGGTCCCGGTGGCCCAGCCTGCTGTGGTGATGGTGGTGGGGGTGACTGTGGCTGGCCACCGGATCCCCCCATGGCAGCCTTCCTTGCCTTGATCATCTCCAGGCCTTTGATGGCACATTGACGGATGCAGGAGTAGAGCTCGTCGCCTTCAGCTGTGAAGAACTGAAACACTCCCGGGCCTGTGCTGGAGCGCCTGGAGAAATGACATGGTGAGGAAAAATGGATACTGGTAAGGAGTTTGGACAAGAATCAATACGTCCTGGGTTTAAAGCCGGAATGTTCTGCCCTTGGGAAAGGCACTTCACACAAATTCATTTTTAAAACTAGAGTTCCCCGATCTCATACCTTCGCCAAATGACTGACAAATTATAGATTAGATTATTCCCCCCTGATTTAAGAAATAGGAACCTAATTTTCATGAATTATATCATTTTATCATAATCTCAACCAAAAGACAGTCTTATGTAAACAAACAAGGCATTCTAGTATTTCCTAATAAATTATGCAAATGAGGTCCTGATTTGAATAAATTATGTTTAATGATGTTCACCTCAACTTAACTTTCAAATACCATAAGTATGAAATTACAGGCAGTTATCATTACATAATTATAAAATTTTCTCATTAATTATGCAAATTAAGTCATTATTAACATAATCAATATCTGCCTGTGTTTCTCTCGTTGTCAATTACCAATGTCACAAGCTTCAATTGCCTTATTATGGAATGCAGCTGATTTATAGAATTTCCCCATAAATTATGCAAATTACATCCATATTTGCATAATTGTCACATAATTATATTAAGCATCACGTAAGCTACCTACATACCAAAAATCACGACGATCCGTCAACCAGTTATTGAGTTATCCTCTTTTGAATATTTTCAAGAATATATCCCTGCAGTTCCAGAGCAAGCCACTAGGGGGCCCAAACTCACGTCACTTCTTCCCAAGCACAAGAGCTACCTACCACCCAAATTTCATCACCATAACATGTCTAGATCATGAGATATCAAAACCGGAAGTTCAGCTGCAGTACCATAACAAGCCGCTAGGGGGTCCAAAATCTAATCATTTTGAGGTCTCATCAAGACCTACCCACCTACCAAGTATCAAGACAATCCATCAAGGCCTTCTCAAGTTATCGTGTTGACAGACAGACAGACAGACAGACAGACAGACAGACACACACACACATACACGAACGCCTCTGAAAACATAACCTTCTTGGCGAAGGTAAAAATGGGGTAAGGGATGTTCCTGAGCAACATTTGTTAACCATTATAACTTCTACTATCATGTCAGTCAACTTTCCAACTAATTCTCTATATTTCATTTCACGTAGCTCTATAATCGTACCTGCCAGACTCAATAGACAGCAGTTGGTCACTCTTCTCCCCTGGGATAACAGTCATGAAGAAGCGACGCAAGGTAGTCAGCTTCCAGGTCAAAACCTACACACCGAAAGAAAACACAGGTTAATGTAAATTATAATATAGCCAGAACACATCGACCAATCCAATTTCGTATTGGTGATGATGCCATAACCTCACCAATGGTGAATAATGAGCTAACACCAATAGGGTAGACTGATTGGTCACATGACCCAGACTCAGTCAGCCATCTTTGTGTTTGGTGTATCGTTCAACGGACAATGCAGTACTGCGGTTTTCCCTCAAAGAACTTTTTGAAACAGATTCCAACTCCAAAGTTTTTTTAGGGTCATTAGGAACATTAGTTTTCATTACCCAATTGACTGAACATAATCTCTACCAGCATGGCATGTAAGTCCTTAGAAAAATGGAGAAAAAATACACATAAATTTTGTACACACCTCCTTCTCCTCAACTTTCCCCTCCTTGCCCTGTTTCCGCTCCATCACCACGATCTCCTCAGGAGAGATGACGAGGATGTATTCCCCTGACAGGCCCAGCCGCTTGGAGTCGATGGTGTCCTCCACAGCCACTTTGAACATAGCAGCTGCTTGTGTACAGCAGAAAACAAAGAAAAGTATGTCATACAAGACATGCCAATTGTTCTTTGCTGCATGAGTGACATATTTGATTCATTGCATTTACTGTTGAGCTTTAATACACTGAAATAATAAATGTCAAGTAATGTCAAATAAATACAGGAAACCATATTACTATAAGTATAACATCTGACAAGTGACAGTAGTATAGAAGTGAAAGAAGCCTAACAGTTAGTACATGTACTTACATATAACACCCTCTTCATAGTTGTGCTCGGAGATGGGCAGTGGTGGCAGGGGGGGTCCACTCATGGATACGGTGGGGAGGGGGGGAAGGGGCATTCCAGACAGAGCAGCAGGGAGGGGCTGATTCCCGGGGTAGGGGGGTGGGGACGGGGCCCCTGGGAGCCGGGGGGCGTTCATTGGGTGTCCTGGGGGGATGGGTGGGACTGGGGGAGCACCATCGCTGTCTCCTGTGGGGGGTAGAGGGGGCAGCGGTGTGCCAGGACCTGCACCCATCTGGGACATGTCCACTCCTTCTCCTACAGACAGTCAGGACAATACAAGTCCACACAATATAAGCCATCTTTTAATGTTGGCATGAAAACAGCTTCTACGGGCTATAACAGGCTTCAGGAAGCAGAATAGACAGATGATATGCCAGGACAGTTGGTCTGCTCTAAGAGTACAGTTTGCCACTCCGATCAAACGGTATAGAGGTAATTGAGAGCAGCAAACTGTACTCTCAGCATGGACCAACTCCTCTGGCATATCATGTCCATTTGTCTTCCCAAAGCCTGGTAGAGGCTATGAAAACAGAAGTCTTGCCCTTTCCAGTGTCGATTGGAAAATGTACTAGAAAGAATATGGTTCAGTTCAGTTATAACAAAAGTTGGTTGTCAAGAACAAAACAATACTAGTACTAATACTATGAGTTTAATGTTCTTTTTTCCTTCATTATGTGGTTCTTTCCTAAAATTCAAGAGACAAAATGCACTCTTCCATGCAGAACAATCATGCAACATGTCACAAGACTGAGGCTTATGCGTAATACCTTTCACAGATATGCAAATGTAATCAGTCACTTAATCCTGTTGTGCATACCCAGCACGTCGGCAGAACGTACTGCGCCTGCGCAGAATCCCGATTTTTCACAGTTTTCCTTGGATTCATGGTAAACGTTGCATTAGAATTTTGCTTGTTGCAGACGCTATGTTTTCCGACATAACATTTGGAAACTACAGACGGAGTGTTAACCTTATATGCGCGAATACAACCTTATATGGGACATTCTGCGGAAGTGCTATGCACAATATATTACGGATTTTGCGCAGGTGCAGTACGTTCTGCCGACGTGCTTGCATACCCTAGGCTGTCAAAACAACTCTATCACAGTGACTGTAATATTGAGTGTTATTGCTTGACAGAATTACCCTGTAATCATTTGCTTAGGGAAATAAACATTGATAACCACATTTCCAGTGAAAAATTTGAAAAATATGGGCAAAACTTTGGAAAAACAACAAATGTCTAAAATCCTTCCTGAGATGATACACTTCATCAGGTGTTCTACACTATGACTGTTGATACGTCCTCTCTGATTGGCTAAGTCCTTACCTGGAGTCAGGCAGAAAAGAAACACCTTCTGCCATTGGGCCATCTGCATCGGGTCCTTATGGTAGAAACCAAACGGGCCCTTGTCGTTGTCTACCATCAGGCAGTTTTGTTTCATCTTCTGGTCCATTACCCTTTGGGAAAAAAAGTATAAACATGCAATGCTTTTACACTGTTTGTTTGGTTAAAGGGTTCTTCATACAACAGAAAAATCATTTTTGACATCATATTTGTATTTCTATCAATGTTACATACATTAATGTTGTTGTTAACCATATTCAATCAAGCATTACTGAATTCTGATGGGGGAGGGGGGCAAATTTGTCTGTGACTTGTCTATATCACTTCTGTTGATTTATGTTTTCGCATAATAATTTTTCCATTTGTTCCTGTGCAAATCTTTGTAAAATTTTGGCTATTTGTTAAGTTCCTTGACACTTTTTCCTTGGCACTCTTACTGGAACCAACAAATGCTTAGGACATTTTATTGACAGCTTGTTTGTAGAGCCAGAATTGTTGGACATTGTTTTCAGCACCAAGGACAGAACAAAGGAAATACCCCAGACACAATCTGGCCTGTGCACATGTGCCCCAGATGTTACATATTGATGCAAATTTTCATAATCAAACTCAGCATTTGTCATATCACGCATCAGACATAGAAGTCCGATCAATCCCTTCAATACACTTTTGCTTAGACATTGAAGCCACACCATCTTAACTTATTGGTTAATTCTTAGACACATTTATGTAAAATTTTAGCAAATAAGGAAAACAGAGGGCTGGGAAGAAAACTTTCATCTGACTCTGTGTACCTTTCTAAACCTGTGTACACCAAGGCATAGGTAAACCTTAGGCTTAGGCCCTGTTTTCATGTTCATATTCCAATCTGGCATTATTTTCTTTTATCTGACTTTCTGAGAACCAACAAATTAAAATGGTGTGTCCTGGACACAACACACTTCTTAACAGTGGAACAAGAAAAATGCTAAAATACGTGTGGTATTGTGTTTTGTCATATAGAATGAAAAAAAAACACACTTTTTTATAACCTAATTTTGAGAGAATAGTGAAGAATTTTTCTTGTGGTTGAAAAAAGTCATAAGTGTGAGAGAAATACATGTCATGTACTTACACAGAGAGCTTGTCTTTGGCATCTAGGCGTATGCTGGCGACTTTCCCCCCCTTGCGAAAGGACTCTTCGTTAGAGAAGTAGTCTAGGAAGGAGGTGGAGTTGTCATCAAGGATACAGAAGATACACCACTTCAACTGCCAGGTGCCCTGATATCAGAAATAAAACATTTACAATATCATAAACCAGTCCATGGCTCCATGCAGCAGGAAAATTAGGAATACTGAAGCGACGAAATCTTAGTTTGTGGTATATCCTCCATTCACTGGTATGAGGTTTGTTTGTACATAACGTTACATGTAGTACAGGATTCAAGAACAGATATAAGAAAACATTTGAAAATCTAGCAATCAATTCATAGCAGTTCTAACATACTAATTATAAATTCATGTCAGTATTTTTGCAACATCATAATATCAACAAAATGGCAGAGTGGTCTATTGTCAGATTACAGGAAAGTTAGTTTGTGATCTTCTTGATTTTGGAAAGAATAAACATTTTTGTTTCTTCGCGTCCTGCTTACAAAAGAGCTTGGATTTTGAATCAGAATGTCTGTGAAAAAGTGATGGATAGAATTCTAGCACTAAACATTGTGACGGCATTTTAGTACCACAGTCTGAATTCCTCCCACGTTTCTTCAAGGCTTAATTTGAAGAAGCAGCAGAAGCTAAGAAGCAACACTACTAATGAAGGATATTTGCAGAACTACTTGCCTTTTTCTGTGGTAGCTTCATCTCGAGGTAGCCCATCTTCAAAATCCTGGCTGCCTTGGCCATGTTGAGAGTTGCTGTTTTCGCTGTACGGTCCTTGCAACAAGTAGTCTAATATATTCATTGTCTAGGGTGCCTCATCTTTATTCATTCTTGCTGTTTCATAAACTTCCTTCCCTGTTGTAGGATTTACTAGCTTTTTGTTGCTTTTACATGTTTGGGAAATGTTTTTTTACCATTCCCAACTCATTCCATTGAAAAGGAAAGAAACTCAAAACACTAAATTGTGATGTTAAGGTAGCATAGTATATACTATTGTTTTTTGGGTGTGGTCCTAAAACAGGGTTACGGGCTTATTTTGCTGCATGTTTGGACTAGCCCAATACATACTTCAATGGCTGTTCTATCCTACAAACACACCTAGACAAGCAATCAGTTTTGTTTTTTTCAAAAGGATCCGGAGGCAGTGTGCGAGAATTCAAGTGACACAAGCAGACAAATTAAAAACAACTGTGAGGGGGTGTTTGCTTCAAGAATTTTGACATTTTTTCCACACTTGTTTATCTCAAGGCCATGGCTATACTTGGTCAATGGTGAACACTAAACTGGATGCATAACTTTACATTTAAACCTCCACATGTATATAGGTCTATGAGCTAAAGATTTAGTATCACTATATAATTATATACATAGACAGAAAGAAATAATAATCTATAAACAAGTTATGTTGTGCTCTAGCTTATCAGTCAGGCCATGTTGATTTGATTATATGGATGACATCCGCGCGCGCATGAATTTTCGGCCGTTTCCAAAAAAAAAAAGTTTTCAACCATACTGTAAATCGTACAAAACAGTTGCAAACTGAGCAAAAATACACCATAAGTTACAAAAAAAATTAATAAAAACTATACCAATATCGTAGAATGCCAAAATCAAACGAAAAAAGACGAAATTGTAAAGAAATGAACTTGAAGACTAGATTATTCGCCAAACCATATTCTGTGCCATTTGCTCAACCCTCATGACCACGTAGATTTCATAATGAAAAGAATTTTTGTTTTTGCAAAACTTTTTTTTTATTCGCACGCGCGCATCAGTTTTGGGGCTCCCGGAGGATGTCATCCATATAATCAAATCAACATGGCCTCACTTTACTGAGACTGTCTGGGAAATAACCATCTGGTCCCATAGAAATTGGAAGGTGGTTACAATAATAATAATAATAATGATAAACATGATTAGTCTAAAGATAAAGATGGTTATCTGTGTTCCAGTAACAGCTGTAACATACAGTAACATACAGCTGTAACATACAGTAAAGGTCGTAATTTGACTGAAATGATTATGAATTTGTTGTGATGTGAGGCTGTTGGAAATCATCTATTTCTGTACAGGCCTTCCAACTAGATAAACAGCAACCCTGTATGTCCTACATGTGACAGATTTCACACAAAAATGAATTCCATGTCCATACAGATTTGATGAAAATAGCTTGATTTATTGATTTTGAAGCCAACAGACTATTATGTCCATAACTAAACCATATTAATTAAAATCATCTATAGGGTTACTACTGCAACAATGATACTATTTATTTCCTTTTGAATATACTACATGTAAGTAGCATTTGCTATATTTCATTACAATTACAATCATACAGACGTTTTTAATTGAAAAATTGACTGAGGAAAATGTCTGAGTTGCTCCATGATTTTTTTCAAATTAATTTCAGTCGACACTGCATTGACATGAAACTATCAGATAATATAATAGTACTTGCTTTGTACACACAAACATAGATGAAAAATTCAATTGTCAAGGAAACAATTGTGACATACAATGTGAGCCTGACACTGGTGCTTTTCATTTGAAAATCAATTTCCAACCAATTTTCTTAATCATCTATCATTTTTATATAAGAAAATTAGTTATGATTTATATTAAAATGTAAAAAACAACATTACATGGATGAACTAGCTGATTAGATAGTCTTGAATAATTTGAATATTTTCTAGTTAAACTTGGAAACAATCTGTGTCAAACAGACGTAATTTTACATTACTGCAAACTTTAGTGAGAAGACACAAGTTACAGTACATGTACATTTATGATGCTGATTGGAAAACATACTGCAACTGCACAAATTAATGATGCTAGATTATCTCTTATTATTCAGATATTTACAAGCTTCATAACTAGGTCTCTAGAACACATCCTACGGCTGCATTATATGGGGTGCTGGTACAATAAAAAAATCAAAACTTTTAGGTACAGGTCCAAACTTCTTAATGAAAATTCTGTTTACTGCTTCTGTGATCTTTGAACTTGACACCACAGGTTATTTTGTTGCTTTGCTCAGGTACAAGTACCTGTATGGACTAGTAAACACCTGTACCTAATATAACATTTAGGTACATGTACCTACAGTAGTTCCACTACACCTTGACATCTGCTGGTTCGGCCATACGCTGGTAGGTTGGGTCGAATTCCCGCCTGTACATCCTGGAGTACAGGAAGAGCAGGAAGCCCCACTTCCAAGTCAAGAAGCACCAAACACACGTCAGGTAGTAACTGTCAGGCTTCAGCACTGGGAAAAAGAAAAAACTCACATGAAGCTTTATCATTATCTTGACAAGCTAGTTTTCTTATGAAGCTATGTAGCCAATGGTTGTATTCCTTTGTTCTTGGTACTGACTGTGTTTCCCTGCCCCTGGTGCTGACTGTGTTTCCCTGTCCCTGGTGCTGACTGTGTTTCCCTGTCCCTGGTGCTGACTGTGTTTCCCTGTCCCTGGTGCTGACTGTGTTTCCCTGTCCCTGGTGCTGTGTTTCCCTGTCCCTGGTGCTGACTGTGTTTCCCTGTCCCTGGTACTACCTGCGTTTCAGTGTCCCTGGTGCTGACTGTGTTTCCCTGTCTTTGATGCTGGCTGTATTTCCCTGTCCTTGGTGCTGATGATGCTAGTAAATATTCATTCCATGAAACTAAGTATACTAATTCATGTTGCTTTTCCAATTCAAAATTACCTTTTTGAGAACCTAGATCAAACTGATATGACCTTACATCACACAACATTTACATGTGTACATGATATTGTGTTTGCGTGAGATGAAGCCCCTACCATGGTGGTTGGTGATGCCCAGCACCAGGTAGGTGACAAATCCGCAGACTCCAGCCAGCTGCACGAAGCAGCCAGACAGCATCAGCCCGCGCAGCCAGCCATACCAGGTCTGCCATTGGTCACGTGCATAGAGGATGTGGACGACCAGGGCCACAGCCGCAGTGAGACCTGAAAATACAATGCTTTACATTATGCATAGCGTATTACGCCAAAGGGTGGTCATACTGGCTATACACATGCAGATATGTATCATCACAATGTTACAAGAAAAATCACCTGACACCCATCTATTTTCAACTTTAGCATGTTCTATACTGTTTCTTCCATAATTTGGTTGACGCACAAAAGTGGAAAAACTGTCACAAATATGATCACATACTAGTGCATATAAATAAAATTACATATAACGTTATCATAACATATTGTATCTAATAATGTTATATCATTCCATGATCTCTGTAACCTCCTTGGCTTTAATATCAAAGGGAAATACTGTAACAGTGTCCGCTATCAAATCAAAAGTACGAAATCTATGTCTTCTGTTGACATTTAAAAAAAACGAAAACGCTATATAATAACACTTTTATCAGCAAATTGGACATCTGTTCTAAAATTATCCCGCTGTATCATGATCACGCGACGGAAGTGTCTTGTACTGAAATGTTTACATTTCAGGGCATGGTAGAAGTTAGGACAACACCCCCCTCAACCTGCACCTTTTCTCACGTCTACGCCCGTGTCCTTACCTGAAACGCCACCAAAAGCCGCTGTATCGTAGCTCTTGAACACCTGTATCCAACAGATAACCGCAGACAGCCCTACTAGGGTGCCCACGGCGGCAAAACCGATCCGAAATCCCAGCCTAAGCCGAGATATGGCCATCTTGTGGACTGATTTTGTAAAGTTACAATATGGGTGGCCAAATTTGTTCTTTTTCTTTGCCTGTCAAACTGAACGAAGATTGTTTTAAAAGTATTTAAAAATTTCGAAAGATACAGAAATATTGACCAAACGTACTGTAATTAGTAAATTACGAATATCATCATAACTTTTGGGTCACATTCTGACTGAATATCTAAACATATTTTATGCAGGCGGAAAAATAGGTAAGTTGGCCACCTATACTATTGTGTAACAGGTTGCACAAGAGATCACCGCAAGGTCGTGTTATTAAAAGCACTCAGACACTCTGTCTCAATTTTCCCTTCGCAAAAACTGTAGATAAATAATCTCCAATTTGAGTAAATAATCTGACTAAGTAAGGTAACCGGTCCCTTTCTTTCATATACTGTATATAAAACCAAGGGCGTTATATCCCCTGCAGTTCGCCTCACCTCCGTAGGAGGTCGTTTAGAAATGGCCATACTGATCTTAATACTTAAATCATGGAGTTAACTTAAAATTAACTCCATGCTTAATTACCCTGATTTCTAGGCGTATGAGAATTTACATGTAACTATATCTATGTTAACATTCTAAATTCAAACTTCGCTCAATTACATATTAATTCTGACTATCAACTATCAGTTTTGGCAACATAAAATTTAACTTGTAACGTTATATTATCAATCTTCATATTAAAGCCAAATTTCTACATAAATTGTCAACTTTCATAAGTAGAATCTTTCTTCTCATTTAGTTAACTGATGACAAGCCACAAAACTGCAAGACAATAAAGTTGCACAAACGCAGTATAATTTATTGTCAAAAACTTACAAACCCTTCATTTTTCAGTTATCAAATACTTACATCTGAGGAAAATATTTCATTCATTCATAACTTTATTGATGGAAATTAATGTTATACTTATGGCAATTCACATTCTTGGCCCACTACTTTGGTCTATTTGGTACTTTTCTTGGATATCACATTAACAAGAGTAGAATACAGAAGCAAATGCAAATCAAGATCTCTTGAAAAAAAACAACAAACTTTTGCCTTGTCCAATATATGACAACGTTAACTCAATATATACAAATCCAACTGATTAAGCCTGGCACAAAGTGATATCATAGTGACGTAATCACAATGATATCCACTCATTTGGGGTTGAAACAGAGTTCTGAATACAATAGATAGGTTGGTCCAAACATTATCCACAGATTCTTCAGCTATACCTATGAAAGTCAGTAATAGCAACACTGTGATTGGTATACATGTACATTCTGGCACTTCCATTTTGGATGGTACAAAAGAACGGAATACTGTACAGTATATGGTGACAACAAGCATAGTAAATGGCATGATATACTATATGACACAATTTTTGGTAGAATATTATTCATCAGGATCAACAAATCCTTACTGATTAAGACACGTAACTTTGGCCTGCTTCTAACTGTGAGTCAATCAATATAAATAACATTCATAATAAAATGCACATACTAACATTAAGTAACAACAAAAATATGTCTCACTGCATACACTATAACAATCCTATCCTACAGAAAAACAAGTAACAAATCTTTTCTGGTAGTAACAGCTATATCTACTCTTGCAGTCATGTAGAAACTGTTTAAAATATAAATAATACTGAAAACATGGGAAACACCAAATCACTACTTTTCTTGCCACAGAATAGCCTTGCTCTGGTTTTGTTTGACATTTGAATATTTGCCTGAAAAATATTGGCAACAGTCCTGATTGGATCTGAGCTGTACTGCCCTGTCTAACAGCCTTGTAACCTGGCTTGATCCCTACTTCTGAAAAAAATTCAACACTCAAACTAATTGATGATGTCTGGTGGGGCAGAAGTTTAAATGGGCACCGGTGCCAGAATATTCTGAAGGGTAAGAGATCAAAGGACTGACCCCATGTCAGTGGCATATGAATGCGTAAACCTGTGTTCCTCAATGTCCCTGAGAGTGCCCCAGTCCAGAATTATTGTACGAGGTAAACCCTGACACATCAGCCATTGACGAGTCTGCTGAAGTATTGCTCACGTAGTCTTCTAGGTTGCGTACCCTTTCCCGTAGAACGTTGAGCTGGTCCCGGTTACGGAACCGCTCTCCCTCCAGCGCGCGTGCACGACGTGACATCTGCTGACGAAGCTGTTGTTTCAGGTTCTCCTGCTCCTTCGCTATCCTCTCGGCCTCTTCTCCTGGGGCGGCTATTCTGACCGTGCGACGCTTCTTTGGTGTGGGTGACTTAGCGAGCGATCTCTGTCCCATTTCAGCAATGTTTTTCAAGTCCTGTTGCAGTTCCTGCTCTTGCTGAAGCCTGTTATGTTCCTGTCTCAACGCCATCAACTCTTCCCCCATCCTTCCTGCCTGGTCAAGCTGCTTCTTCCCAAAGCTTTCCAGCTTCTCAATCTCCTCATTCAAAGCCTTTCTTTCCCCTTCAAACTCGCTCTGTGTTTTCTGAAGTTTTCTCTTCAATTTTCTTATCTCTTCCTGGTGTTCCCTGATTTTACTGTTTAGGGTGATTTGCTCCCGTTTTGAGTTTTCTCTGAGTGTTTCCAGTTCGGCCTGGCAGGAGGTTAGGGCTTGAGCTAACTCTGTTTTTTCCTCGTCCCTGTTCTTTAATTCTCCTTGCTGAGCTGCCAGCTGTGCACTCATGATGCTTACTTGGTGGTCTAGTTGTGTACACTTCTCTTCTGTATGCTGCATCTGCGTTATCTGTGCTTGAAGGTGGTCGAACTCCTGGCGTTTTCGAATGACCTCATTTCCTATAAGGTCAAGTTCAGATGCAGTCTGTCCTCTTACACTTTGAATCCGTTGTAAGTCATCCCTGTCACTGTCTAGCTTCCTCTCTTGCCTGCTTACATTGTCCTGTAGTTCTCGCTCCTTTTGGGAAGCTTGATCGTATGCTAGTCTGGAGTTTCTGACCGCCTCGTTAAGCCTTCTCAGATCTGATAGAGTCTCCTCCCTGTCGCTCACAGCTTTACGCAACTTTTCTTCTGCAGTGCTCAACTTGTCTTCGATTTCGTTCAGGTCATCTTTCATGGCCGACAGCTGCTTTTTCGCATGTTGGAGGCTGTCTTGTATGATTCTGTCCTCTTCCCTTGCAGAGGACACCTTTTTCTTCAGTTTGACCAGATCTCCTTCCTCCTGTCTTACGTCCCTCTGTAGTCGTTCCAGCTGGTCTTCTGCTGTTCTCAGCTGTTGTTCGGTTTCTCCCAGACGATGTTTTGATTCCCTGGTCTTGGTGATCAGCCCGTCACGCGATTCCTGCAACATGGTCTTCTCATCTGACAATGTTTTGACATTTGCCTGCAGAGTTCTTTGCTGTTCACATAGATAGTCATACTCTTGCTGTTGCTCTTTTAGCTGTTCATCTAACCTCTGCACCTCTGATTGTTTCCGCTTGTTCTTGTTCTGAACTTGCTCTAGACGTGCTTTCTCCTCTTGTATGAGTGCTTCCAACTGGTCAGCTTCCAGTGTTTTGTCTCGTACTTGCTGCTTTGCCAAGTCGAGGTCGGCTCTTTCCCTTTTCAAGGTTTCTTGAGCTTGCCTGTACTCCACAACACAGCGCTCCATCCTTGTCGTAACAGCATCAAGGTCGTTTTCCTTGTCGTTAATTTCCTGTTTTATTTCTGTCAGCTCTGCTTTTCTGTCTTTCACGACTGTGTCAAGGTCCTGACTCTCTGCGCGAAGGTCCTCTAACAGGTCCTGGAACTCCTTGACTTCCCTCTGTGTCTCTACTAACACCGTGTCCCGTTCTTTACTTGCTGAAGCCAGCTCAGCCTTGGTGGCAGATATCTTTTCCTCTAATAGTTGAATATGTGTTTGTTTGTGTCCAAGATCCTTATCTAGATCCTCCAGTTCTCCTTGCTTGACTTCCACCTGTCCTTTCAGCCTGCCTAGCTCAGCCTTTCGTTCTGCAAGAACTCTTTCAACATCCTTCAAGGCTCTGTGCCTTTCGGCTTCTTTTTCTTCTGTGATCACAACCTGTGCTTCTAGGTCTTGCAGAGTTTCCGTTAACCTTCTAGTCTTGGTGTCAAGAGCCTGGAATTCTGCATCTCTCTGAACTATGACCCTTTTGATGTCTTCTATGTCCTGCTCCAGGCCTGCTCTCTTCTTTTCTGCATGTAGGATGTCCTCTTGCAATTCTGTCAGCTTGTCCTGTGCATCAAGTAAATCGTTTCCTGTCTCCTTTGCCCTCTTTTCGAGTTCCCTTACGTCTTCTTCTGTGGTACCGAGGTTGGCCTGTGCTTCATCATATCGCCTTATCGTGTCCCCTGCCTCTGCATTTGTTCTTGTCAAGTCTTCCCGACACTGCTGTAAGAGACGGTCAGACTCCCGTAACTCTGCTCTACGTTTTGAAAGTGTCTCTTCTACACAAGCTATTTCTTCTACCAGCTGCCTGTGCTGATCCAAGGCAGCCTCCACAAACTCATCATCTAACTTGGCACTCTTTGATTTTTCTTTCAATCGTTTGGCTGTTTCTTTCAGCTGTCTGTCTTGTTCTTCGTTTTCATCTTCAAGCTCACGGAGGTGTTCTTCCTTCTGTGTGAGTGCAAGGTCAAGAGCTTCGATCTCAGACTTTCTTCGCTTCTTCTCCGTCTTGTACTTGGACAGTAGTTTGTTCATCCTTGCTAGTTCATCCTCGAGGTCGTGGTGTTCTGGTACATTACACACCAGGGGTGAATCACCTTCTACTGGCTGTGAGACAACAGCTTCATACCCGGGAGGTGCTACCACAGGTACTGATCCAGCTGGAGCGTAGAAGATGGGTGGACTTCCATCTCCATTTTCATCCCCACCTCCTCCTCCTCCTCCTCCCCCACCCCTTCTCCTGGGGGTACTATAGAACCTTGGTGGACCTGCAGGAGACCTGATCATAATCGGACTCCCTGGTTGTCTTGTTGTTGGAACCCAGTACCCACTTCTTCCTCCTCCTGCTGTGGGGACCCAGTAGCCTCCCACACTACTACTCGGCACCCCAGCCTGGCCTCCTGGAACTTGCCCACTGGTGGAAGGCACCCAGTATCCGCCAGTCTTCCCCCTAGGTGGGACGTAGTACCATTGTGGAGCAGGGGTGGTTAACGCCGCAATTGTTTGAGCTTGTTGTGAGAGGGTGTCCCTCAGAGCGTTCACTTCTGCCATCAGTGCTGCGACGTCGTCAGCATTTTCGTCCGACAGTTTATCCAACGTGGCCCTTAACCTGTCTGCGTCCCTGCGTTGGTTCCTCAACGCTGCTAGAAGGTTGTCGATTTGTCGGTCCTGATCTTCTTGAGCCATCTGACTGGCGCCAGCTTGACGTGCCTGCTGCTGAAGCCTGTTGCGAAGGTCGTCAAGAAGATCCTGGAGCATCCCAATCTCGTCCTGCGCCGTGGCCAGTTCTTCTCGAGCCCTCGCTGTACGCAGGTTTGCCATGGATTCTGCATCAGCCATCTGCTGCCTCGCCAGGGAGTCTGCGTTTCTCATCTTTCTCTGAAGGTCGGCAAGCTGTTGGGCAAGGTCGTTGAGATCTGATTTTCCCCTTGCCTTGTCCCGCATGGCTCTGCGTTCTGCATCGTCCATGGTGCCTCTCAGGAGGTCCATCTCTGCTTTTGCTTCAGCCAGCTTGTCCTCCACTTGGGTCTGCATGTCCCTGACTTTCTGCTGAAGTTTCCTATTTTCAGACTCAAGCTGCCTGGCCTTGGCTCGAGCTGCGTCGGCATCCCTCTGCTGCTGTGCTATGTCCTTCGCACTCTGGGTGTAGCTGTCTGTGGCCTGTGCTAGCTGGTCCTCTAGGGCTCTGATAGCAGCTTCTGCCTGTTGCTGCCGTCTCCGTGCATCAGCCGCATCTTTAGCTCTCTTCTCCAGGGCATCACTGAGAGATTTCTGTAAGTCTCCCAGCAGCTTTCCAACCCTGTCCCTCTCACTCTGAGGCTTCAGGGTTCCTGTGCCCCTCTCGACATACTTTTTCAACTCTTGTACTCTTTGTTGGAGATCTTCTGGATTGATACTGGTATCCATGAGGTCTTGAAGGCCTTGTTCGGCATCACGTAGCTGCTTTGCGAGAGCAGCTTCTCGCGCCCTGAGGGCAGCTACCTGTGCTGCTAGTTCCTGTGCTTCTGTCTCCTTGTCTTTGAGGTTTCTGGCTTGTCTGGCTTTTTCTTCAAGCTCTTGTTGAAGAGCTTCCTGCTCTGCCATACTTTCATCATGGGCCTTACCAAGTTCCCTTCTCAGTTTATCGATCTCTGCTTGAGAGGCCTTCAGCCTGGCTTCTGCTTCAGCTTTCTGTCTGTCAAGATCGTTTTTCGCTCGTCTCAAAGCATCGTGATCCTCGTCCTGGTCAGCAAGAAGTTGCTCCAACTCCGCCAGTTTTCTCTTTGTTGCATTCTTCTCTTCTCTCTCTCCTTGAAGCTCCCTCAATCTGTGTAGGAGCCCGTCTCTCTCTCTTTCAAGCTTCTCTCTCTCCTTCTGCTGTTTGTCTGCTTTCTTTCTCGTGTTTTGAAGATAGTCCTGCAGTCCTCCGATGATCCCCTGCAGTTCAGCCTGCAGTCCCACATTTCCCTGCAGCTGACCCTCTTTCAACTCGTCCTCAAGGTCCTGCAGTTCAGCTGTCTCATCAGCAATCCTCTGCAACACATCGTTGAGCTGCTCCTGCAGCTTTTTGTATTCTTCCTTTGTTAGATCCAGCTGCTGCTGCTTGCTGACCATCGCTGCCTTTGCGTGTGCCTTTTCTGGGCTGCCCTCCTCCAGGGCGTCCATCTGTGCCCGTAGATCATCTATCTCTTCTTGCTGTCGTCTCATCAGGTCTCTTTGCCTCTCCATCTCTTGCTCGATTCTGTCTGCCTCTTCTTGTAACTGCTGTACCTGTTTGAGTTTCTGAGCAAGGTGGGCCAACGGCATGCCTTCTGTCAGTCTCGCAAGCTCGTCAGCGGCTGCTTTCATCTGTTGCTCCTTCCTGTACAGGTCCTCTTGAAGTCGTGTCAGCTGTGTCTGGGCATCCTGGATATTTCTCTCCTTTTCTCCTAACTGTGTATCTAAGGCGTGGTGGAGTTGCTCGTGGACTCGCCGAGTCCCCTCGTCGTCAGCCTCTTCTATGTCTATGGCTGTCATGCGTAGTGGCTGAGCCCCACTGGGGATGAAGCTCTCTCCTGCGTACACGTTACGCTTGTAACGAGCCTTGCCTATGTAGGGGCTTTCTTCTGGTGATTCTCCAAGTTCTGCATCAGGTGGTGGCCGGTAGCTCATTGGTTCAAACTTGGCGTCTAACTTGTAGAATGCAAGCTCCTGCTCTAACTCATACTGCTTCTGACAGGCACGTGCTAGCTCAGCAGTTTTCCTCTGGAGTATCTCATCTTTGGCATCGAGCTGATTTTCAAGCTCTTGTATAGAGAAGTCCTGATCTGAACCGCTCTTTCTGAGCCTCTTTTCACGCCCTGTGCTGACCTGTAGCTCTTCAAGTGTTGTGTTGTGTTCATCTTGGAGGGCCTGTAGTTCCCTTTCCTTCTGCTCAAGGGATCTCTCTAGTGACCTGATCTCTTCTTGCCCAAACCGAGCCTTAGCCTCTTGCCTTTCCTGATCTGTAACCTGGGCCCTGTCCAACCTCTCTAGACTTCTGAGACAGAACACAGTGTAGAGGTGAGCATGGGGCATGTCACAGACAGGATTCTCAGCTATGGTCACATGGATTAGATCAGGAAGGGGCCGTAACCTGGCTACCTCTGATAGAGAGGACAACTGGTTCCTCGCTAACTGTAGAACTCTCAGGGCTTTTCAACCTTTTACCTACCCATGAAGGAATATGTTCTATCCTATTCCCAGTTAGATTCAACACCTGTAGGTTTGTCAGTGTCTCTAAACCCTCTATCACACTTATCCTGTTTGTAGCAAGGCTTAGCTCTCGTAGATTTGTAAGTTTCTCAAGACGCTCGATCTTCTCAATAATGTTGTTGTTGAGAATAAGAACCTCCAGTCGACGTAGGGTTTCTAAGTTTTCGATGTACTTGATCTTCTTGTCCCCTGTGAGGGTGAGACTGAGTTTGGTGATGTACCCCAGGTCTTCCTCCCCGCTGATCTTCCTGATGAGCACGTCGGTGATGTAGCGGACCCCGGGCTCCTGTCTTCTCTGCTCAGCGTCTCCATTCTCCTGCCCCCGCCCCCTCTGCACCAGGATGCTGTCTGCTGACTGTCTGCCAGGGGGCGCTGCAGCACTCCTGGACCTTTCTGATGGGGCAGCTCGGGCAGAGGCTGGCTTCCTGAGAATAACATCAACAACAACGACTTAGAATTTAGATATACCTACCTAGTCATCTGGGGAGCCTGATCTGGGCTCAAAATACTGTAGTTCGCACTCACAATAACTGTTGTAGTCTAAATCATCACAGATCAACAGATGAAAGATTTAAGATAGACAGCTCAGGCACAGGAGCTGGCTTCCTGTGGGAAATACAGTGAAAAATCATGATACACCAGACCTCATAGCTGCACACCGGTCTACATGTACTACTACGTAACATATACTTAGATATACCTACCTAGTCATTTGGGCTCAAAATACCGCACTAGCACAGTTCACACTCACAGTAACTGTTGTAGTCTAAATCATCAGATTTACAACAGATTTAAGATGGGGCACTTGTCTTTAATATATAAGTAAAGGGAAAGAAAATGAGTGGTGCAATGGCTACATCTGTCAACATACTGTACATCGTTTTACTCTCGCTATATGAAAACCTCTGGTATGGCACTGCAGATATTCCACTAGTACAATAGCAGTTGCAATAGAAACAAAGAATTCTAAATTTGCCCAGATAGAAAAATAATGTATCTTTAGAAAGTCCATACCTGGCACTGGCAGGCTTCCTGGCCTGTGTTGCTGAGTCACGCTTCATTGTTGTTCCAGTTTGGCACAATCACTATGGCACTGTGGGTTTCATTCACCTGAAGAAGTAAAAATTCACTCAACATATCCATCGAATCAAAAAATAAATCGTTATTTGAAAAATCATGTCCAAAGGCTAATATTGAAAGGAAAAAAATGTTGTGTTTCCATTTTTTGGGATCATTTTAGCCAAAATCTAACAAAAAAAAAAAAAAAACAGAAGAAAATCCCTAGACCTTCTGACCTTAGCTTTTCGAGGACTGAAACCGGAAACACAACATAATTTTCCTAGGCCTACCTGCTTGTTGTATGCAGGTGCAGTACTAGTACATTCATGCTACATGTCATCCGTTGCTAAAATAACACATGTCATTAATGACAGGTTGATTTAACCTAGATTTAATCTAGTAAACCAAGGTTACTACATGTGTCAGCATTATGAAGTATTCTGTTACAGTCATGAGTGACATATATGTACTTAATAAACAAAGGTGTGTACCTGATTATCGAACAGCTAGGTACACTAAAACGTAGTCAACTAAAATTATATCATTTCGGTACATTAACAACTTTTTTTACCCTGAATAATTTATACTTGTCGTCCACAACGCCGGATACCACTAAAACCACTAACACCCGAGTGTTCATGAGATGCTAGGGTTTGGAACCACCAAAAGATCCCAGACGGAAAGAACTGATTTCTCAACTTCGTCACGCTTCACAAAATCAGAACGTTGTCTTCAGAGCAATATGTCACTCCCGTCTGTTTGTCAACAAAGCCCCCCTCCCCGCAACTAGACTCTCCATGAAAAAAACTACCAGCCATCCCTAGGCCTTGTTCTAACTGTTTATACTTACACAACTTGCTTGTAACAAGCGCTTGAGCATCTAAGATGTCCTTACCTTCGAATGAAGAGAAACCCGAGACCCTCTTACAGTTAAAAGTACCGCCAAAACCCGATACTTCATTCTTCAACCGTCCACCGCCGCCATCTTGATTCTTATAAATGACGACCTTTGACATTTTAGCTGTTTGTTGTAGAAGTTAGTGGTGCCTACTAAATAAAAGTCATAGAATTTTATATTTTGCGCGATAAAATCTTATCTCAGTACAAAAATCAGTTTTATCAAGGTTAAGTTCCATTTTACCTATAAATTGTTATTCATAAAGCGAAAATGAAGTAACTAGTTATAATGCAAGGACCAGAAGAATAAGGCACCTAAAAGGAAACTACAGACAGCCAACAAGGAAGTTGCCAAGATGACGGAAATGGCGTCGGTTGCTCAGGTTCTCCGCTCGCGGTTTCGCGGTTGTCTTGCGGCCGCCGTGGCCGGGGACTGCATCGGTGCCGAGTTTGAAGGTTGCGTGCCGGTACCAGTCGATAAGGTAGAGAACACCATCTAACAGTTTCACCCAGCTAGTGACAATACATCCCGTAGCAACGACAATAAAAAAATTATGCGTAACTAACGTTGAACTTCAGACTTTTAGGTCTTTTAAATTAAAATTAAATGGTTTGTCGTGTTTGGTTCCACAGGTACTGGGATATGTGGACCATGTCAACAAGCAGAGAGGAAGGGAGGTGAAATTTACGGATGACACGGCCATGGCAAGGTTTGTTGAACTGTATACTAAGTATGGCACTACATATGTATACAGACAATTTCCTTATAAATGTTTTTGTTTCCGTGTTAAAATTCATAATCACATTGATATTTGTGATACTTGTTACCGAATACCCAAAAGTTAGACATCTAAATGTTAAACAAATATGTATGGTTGGAGTTTTTTTTTCCATGAATTGATTATTGCATTCTGCAGTACATGTCAATTACATCCGCAAAAACGAATTGACGTATTCAGCCACAACATTTGCTTGGAGACCAGCAAAGAAGTTAGGAACACAGATCAGTAGCTTTCTATTGAAAATTTGACATTCAATATACTTCTGCATACCTTTAGGTCTGTGGCGAGGTCTCTCATCGAGTGCAAGGGCTTTGATGCTCGTGACATGGCCACCAGGTTCGCTAAGGAGTATAAGAGGGAGCCTGGGCGCGGCTACGGAGGAAGTGTCATCACTGTCTTCTACAGGCTCCTTGAAGAAGGCCTTCAAGACGTCTTTGAGCCGGCACGGCAACAGTTTGATGGGAGAGGGTCTTATGGTAACGGTGGGGCTATGAGGGTTGCACCAGTGGCATTGTATGCTTATGGTGATGTGGAGAAAGTTACGGATATAGCCAAGCAGACTGCTATGATTACACATTATAATAGGGAAGGGTATAACGGAGCAATCCTGGAGGCATTAGCTGTTCATTTGGCTTTGCAGCAGGGTAAAGATGAAGACTTAAATGTGGTTCAGTTTGTAGATGCATTGCTTCAGAAGATGAAGATAGTTGAGGGAGGTGAAGCAGGTAGCAGCCAATCAGAAGAGCCAGAAGTTGGCCAATCAGAGGACAGCAGAACTGGCCAATCAGAGGACACTGATGGTGACCAATCAGAAGAGGAGAAAGGGAGTAAAGAAGCAGCTTCCTCAAAAGAGGCAGACCAGCCCTACTGTGCAAAACTGGAAATAATGAGGGAGTTTCTACAAAGGGGAAACGTCTCAAGGATAGAAGTTGAAGACCAGCTTGGAAATGACATTAAAGCCCTGGATTCTGTTCCGGCGGCCATTTTCTCCTTCCTTCACTGCACACGCTCTGTTGATGACATCCCAACAGACAATGCTCTGGAGCGTACCATCATCTATGCCATCTCACTAGGGGGGGACACAGATACCATAGCGACCATGGCAGGCGCCATAGCTGGTGCGTATTATGGGATAGAGCATGTACCACCCCCGTGGATGAAGGCATGTGAGGGAGCAAACGATGCGGTCAGGTTTGCTGACCAGTTGTTTTGCCTAGCAACAGGAGAAACAATAGAAAAGGACCCTGGGGATGAGGACAATGAAGAGGGCCAGAATAAGGGGGATGAAGGAAAACCCAGTGCTACTGACTAGTACCAGAAAGTTGTCACAAAGTTTACTTGATCTCTGCTGTGCAGATTTAGTTTTTATTATCCATGAAATTATGCATGAAAAGTTTGATCAAGATAAGAACTATCAATACAATGAGTTTGTAGGAAAACTAATACCATAATCTATCTGAAACATTAGTTATACATGTATTAAGGTTTACTCCTTGGTTATATTCTGAAAATTACAGGATGTTATTAATGTTTGTTTATGGTATACAAAAAAAATGTAATGAGATTGTTGTTGCCCCTATTGCTAATTCATTGACATATATGTATAACAGCTGCAGGTTACTAAAAATGTGATGTAAAACTGTAAAGTTACCAAACAGTACTGGTTATTTTCATCTCTCTTTTAGAACTTTGCAAGGGAAATTTTATTACAAGATAAAATCTTTGATTTGGGAGTGCGTAGTGCCAAATTGTTGAAAGGAAGCCAGAGTCTGACATTAGATACGTACCTACAAATGGTTTATTATTTTTGCTTTTGTTAATGCATTTCTCTCCATGGAGGCTCCAATAGTCTGTATTTGTTTTGTGTTTGATTACTAATATTGCACACAGTGAATTTTGAAATTTTCAGTGTTTTTAAGTTTGCTTGTCACACTTTGAATTTATATGCTTTGTGTTGCTGAACTCTTTATTTTTTATGTAAAATTTAAGTGCAGCAAACATAAGTTCATTTAATTATGATACAGGAATCCCTATCAGACATTGAGCAACTGCTATGGCATGTAGGTTGTTTTGAATGCTAATGAATTTTGAGACCACTACCATGTGTTTGCCCATTTGCCAGGAGGCTGATCCTTGCCATACTTTCGCTGGTCACTTTGCCAATGGCTCAGCAGGGGGCTTAAACCCTGACCAAATGGTTTTCCATT